TGAATCTAAGGCCCCTTCCACACAGCTGAATACAATCCCACATTATCTGCTTTGAATATATGGCAATGTGGACACAGATAACCCAGTTCAAAGCATTATTGTGGGATTTTCTGCCTTGATATTCTGGGTTATATGACTGTGTGGAAGGGCCCTAAGAATGCAAAATAAAGGGTTTTTAGGAGGGTGGCCCTTATTATGTTTGGAGAAACTGAAGATGTAGCAGATGAAAAATAACCAGGTTTGGAGCTGACAATATTTTTTTGCAAGCTGCCTTAAACAGTTTGATGTATATGGAACAGTCTCTGTTGGAAGCAGTGTAAAGTAGACTTTGTACAATTGCTGATTTGTTTGCATCTTTTCTTCATTATGCTGGAGAAGTTGAGAGATGGGGTATATTTGAAGAGTCTGTTGTTGCTATCCAGCAGCTAGGGTAGATCTTTAGGTGGTTAGCAATGACAAATTGCTTCATGCCTAGGGCTTTTCTGATACTACTGCTTGCAACTTTTCTGTGTTAGGGTTATGTGGCTCTACATGATACCTAGATGCTCTGCTTACACACTCCCAGGTTTTGACAGCAATAGCATCAACATTCTATATTTATTTATTTAACAAATTCTTACCTTGCTCTTCGGCCCAACAAACTCCCACAGCGGCTTACACAAGATCAATACCAAACGAGATAGTCCCTGCCTGCAGCCTTATAATCTCAGAGATATGATGGCAAAGCATAAAAGTGGGGTGAAGAAGAAAAATAAGGAACTACAGATATCAGTTTTTAAACTGAGAGGGGGGAGGCTTTCATACACATCCTTCCTCCCATATCACATTTTCAGCCTTTCTCTGTATAGATTGAATACCTGAAAATGAGCATGATTTGTTTTCTTTTGACATTCCTTTCTCCCTCTTTTCTGTCATATCATTTGAGCACGTACAACCCTAACTGCAACCTTCACTGGAAACAGTGTTCAGAGAAGTGGCATCCAGTAGAGTTGGAAAACAAGTAGCGGACTGGTTGGAGTGTCAGTTTGCACAATGGCAAATGGGCCTCCTTAACCATTAGACAATATTTTTAAAAAATGTTGATGATCTTTTAGTAGCTTGAAAATATAATAGAAATTCCAGTGTTATTGCTGTATGCAACTAAAATGTACATATTGCTATTTTATTATTTTTTTAATAAAATGAATGAAATGGTAGCCTTATAGGTGTGAGTGAGCCCCTTTGTCTCCTGGCTCTCAGTCCAATACTGTGGAAAATGCCTACTTTCTAGTTAGGTACATCTACACTGTTGAAATAATGCAGTCTGACACCACTTTTAACTGCCAAGGCTCAATGCTATGGGATCTAGGGAACTGCAGTTCTTCAAGGTCTTTATTCTTCTCCACCAAAGAATTAACTTCATTAATTTCACAATGTAGATGCACTTGTTGTCCTACTACTGTAAGGTGATGTAATGGCTCCTAACAGACCATGAAGGGAAAGGACAAACCCACTTCAAAAGGGTAAATCTAAGATTATAGATGTGTTTCACTTTGTTTATAGGTTGCCTGCAATCTTTTACACAGATCCAGACTGCAATCTTATACATTATTTTGGAAAATATTTATGCAAATGTTCTTATGCATTTTTGTGTGCTTTGCTCCTAAATTGCACTTATCATACACTGTTTCTGCAAGCAGTTTTCCCTGTGTGCAAACATTTAAATGTGGCTTGAGGGAATGCCATTTTTGTATCGCTTATTTATTACAAATATTTCTAACTCTGAAAATGGCATATAGGGACTACACATTCTATGGGTAAAAACAGAATGTAAATGAAAATGTAATATAGATTATTTAGTTCCTATGACCTTGGTGCTAGAGATGTCCCTACTCACAAGAATAAACAAAATAGATTACATTGATATGGCTGCACATGTCTATAGTTTGTTTCTCACATGGAGAAAGCCCTATGCAATTATTTTCTGTCAGCTGCTATCCTATTATAACAGACTGTTGCCAAATAGAACTGACTCTGTGGAAGATGAAATGTCTTTGAGATGATGTGAAGGTTGACTTGTTTCTGTTGATGTCTCATGACAACTCAGACCACAAAATTCAGTGCAATATAACCGCCTTTACTAGAGGTTATTTATTTTTATTTATTTTTTCAAAATCTAATCCTGCATTACTTCACAATGTACGCACAGCATACAAAGAGACACAAATTCACACATCTCATAACATCAGACAGGCACTTTACTAAATCCTATAAATACTAAAATAAAAATGATTCAGTCCTCATTTCCAAGCAACCAAATCTGTATCATAGATTGTTTAGAAATATTGGAAATATTACTTGAAGGGACTTAAACAAAATCTCCAGTTTTGATATGTTGGTTGGAGTAATCTGGGAATTGTGGCCCAAGACAAAAATTTTCTAAGCATTTCCAGAGTGATACGTAGATTGAAACACATAATTTTTCCAATTTTTCACATTTCCTAATTCTCTTTAAAAGCTATTAGCTCAAAATGGTAGGAAAACATATTTTAGGATTAAATCTATTGAGAAATGTATACTGTGAGAGAAGATATTTCAGAGTGCATTTTTTCTAATTTTAAAATGAAATATGCATTTAAATACCCTTTCAGGATGAAATGGACTTATGAGTTAATACATTTGTGAGTAAAATACACATCTGTCTGTCCCCATTAAAACTACCTCTTCCTAATTAAGCAACACAAACAACAAACTCAGGAAGCAACATGTTCAGCAAACATGTATTTTAAAAAAATAAAATCTTCAGGATCATAGAATCATAGAATCAAAGAGTTGGAAGAGACCTCATGGGCCATCCAGTCCAACCCCCTGCCAAGAAGCAGGAATATTGCATTCAAATCACCCCTGACAAATGGCCATCCAGCCTCTGCTTAAAAGGATTAAATCTTTGAAATCTTTGAGATCATCCTTGAAATCAACATAGATAAGGCCAGATGTATTTCCTTGAAACTTGGATTCCAAAAATATAAAGCCACCAATAAAATGTTCTTGTACTTAGCTTCAGAGGTCTTGAAGACAACCATGAAATACTGCTTCATGTCCATTCTGATTTTTTTCCTTAGATTTTGAATCACTTGGGTCTTAATTACAGAGTATCATAGAATTATAGAGTTGGAAGAGACCTCATAAGCCATCCAGTCCAACCCCCTGCCAAGAAACAGGAATATTGCATTCAAAGCACCCTGACAGATGGCCATCCAGCCTCTGTTTAAAAGCTTCCAAAGAGAAAATGCCTCTAGAACATGGCCATATAGCCTGGAAAAACCTATAACAACCCTATTATTATTATTATTATTATTATTATTATTATTATTAAACTAGAATAGTATTCCTATCCATGGGATCTTCTGAAAGCACAGCAGTTTAAAGAAGCAGACACTTAACATTCAGGAGATTCTCTTACAATTCCAAAGGTGTTCTGAATAAGAGTTTAATTTTTCTGACCTTTTTAACATTCTTCTCCTGCAGTGCTTTCCACAAAAATCATGAAATGCACATGTCCTCCCAAATGTCAAAATTTTCTCTTTCTTATATAAGGTATTTAAAAAGACACAAGTTAGAATGGGAACTTTGCATGCCTGTTTTTAGTTGTATCGTGTCTAATTATACAAAGTATTTTCTCCTTCCTCCCCACCAGACACTTATCTCTTTAACATGCAAATAATCCTAGTACATGCCTCAGGCACTGTAATATATAAACCTGATGATCACAGAGTCATTCCTGAGATTGTAATGGGCTAAAAAACTAAAATTGAAGGAACCCTTATGGGAACAACATTTTCCCTAATTTCTTTCACTTTCAAACACTGTTACCTAGCCAGATAGAAGACAAAGAAAAAACAGATGACAAACCTTGCCCCTAGTTCTCAGAAAGATCAGGTCCAAATAGCGAGACTAAAGGCCCCTTTGCTGGACTTACTCAGCCAAATCAAGATGTTTATTCCCTAAGCTATCCATTTTGATATATACCTCGCTTTCTCACCTTTGCAATTAGAACTCGATAATATTAAAATAAATGTTAATAAATGTTAATGCTACCCTTTAATGACAATCAAAATCTGATGCCACAATCTAATGCTATCTAATAGTAGAGCTTACCTGAAGGAGAAAGTCTGAGTGGTGTACAAGGTGGCCACTCAGGAGTGGTTTCTCCTATCCTTCAGACTGATATAGGAAATTGGAAAATTGCTAAAATTATTTGAACAAAACTATGGAGAGGTTGATCATCTTTACCTTTTAACCAGTATTCACTTTTAAAATTCAGTACTAAGAATTTTTTTTTAAAAAACGAGAGTACTTCTCAAAATACCACTCACAGTAATGTCATTTGGCTACTTCTGAATTAGTAAACTGTACAATGGTTGTGGCAGAAATAATTAAAATAGAAAATAGTAATGAATGTTCAGGAAAGCTAAAAGGTATGCATTCCAAACTACATTTATAAATATTGTGTCCTTTTCCTAAAAATCAAATCAGTAAAAAATAGAATGAAATTGTGTACTACATGCAACATAAAGACTTTCTTAGTTACATGAATGAGAACAATATACACTTCCAATCATTTGTTACCTGTGTGTCTATTATTCACCTCCAGATATTTAAAGAAGTATTTCTATATTGTATCGCAGAGAAAACAATGGCATTCATTCTAACTTTCTTGAAATATTATTCCTTTAACAATGTGAGCTTTATTACTGTAGTAAATAAAATGAGGTTCAAAAATAATCCTTTTGAAATACATGTTTCTGCAAATAGTTTGGATTCAAGGTCTTTCCTTCTATGTATAGAAAAGTCTGTTCCATCTCACCATCCATCCCATTATGAATTTTCTAAGATCTGCTGTCCTGGATGTTGTTGTTGATGATGATAGTGATGATGTTGTTGTTGATGATTTTCTATTTCAGCCTAATGCTTTTCATAATGTACCTGCCTTCTAAATTAGATTGTTGTTGTTTTTGTAGGGATATGATGATGGATATGGGGGTGAATACGATGAATCAAGTTATGAGGCTTATGATAACAGCTATGCCACACAACCACAGAGGTAAGTTGCAATTGATGATTAATTGTCTCACGGATAAACTACTGTATTATAATTCTGATCTACTGAATTGCTTTTAACATCAGTTCTAAATGCCCTATTAGAAGGTATTGCTGAAACCATTTCTCAGAGCATCTCAGTTCTAAGTTCTTAACTATACAATAAAATAATTCAAGTGATGAAAGATTAGCAGTGAGTTTGCAGGTATAAAAGCATCATATTTTCCAAGACCACACTGGAGGAAATAACCACTTTTCAAAATTGGTCATCACTTATGTCTCACTTAATACTTGTCAGATGATGATGATGATGATGATGATGATGATGATGATGATGATAATAATAATAATAATACATTTTATTTATTATCCGCCTCTCCTGATGGCTAGAGTAAACTCGATGGCTAGAGTAAACTCGTCGATTCAGCAAATTTCCCTGTGTAAATCTCAACAATTATCAATTTCTTCAATTTCTTCTAACAATTTCTTCCATTTATCCAACTTAATTAGATCCAAGCAGAACCTTGAATCCTATCTGTTGCTTAGCCTAAGAAATCTTAAAAACAGACCAAGACTAAGGAATGCAGTTGCCAAAATTATTCCTTTAAGAAATTTATGACAACCCACACACACTATCCATAGTATGCCTGTAACTATTTATTCCATGAAGTTTCAGCCACAGGGTCCTGCTCAGAATAGTCTCTCTTCAGCAGTTCTTGAAACCACCTATTAATAACTATATAGTAGCTTGCTGTATAGTACTTGCACTAATATTCTCTGCAAAACCAGATAACACTGATTTAATATTTTACCTTTATTGGAAGGCTCAAGAAAGCAGCCAACCACTGAGATTGAATTTACAATCAGTTATTGCATTTGGGGGATTTTCTCCCTAGTTATAGCATTTTCATTCTGTCATTATGTTCCTGCCGTCTGCTAGATTGTTACATGGTGTGTCTTTGTTTCCAAAGCCTTTATTGAGGCAACGGGAATCTTTCTTTCATTCCCCATTTTGTTCTTCTGGTATTCAAAAAACCCTTCCATTAAATCAACAACAAAATTACTTCTGGAATTAATGAGATTGGCAGATTTGGTATAAATAAAACACAGACTGTTGGCATTGTTGAGAAGGGGAGAAAAATCAGCAGGTGAAGGTTTCCTCCTGTTTACCTATAGTGTGGCAGGATTTATTTGAAATTAGGATAGGCCAACCTTTTTAAAGAACAGCTTCCAAGATGGTGTAAAAATATACAAAACCAATTAAAGCATCCATCATGATGACAAATTTTTATTCTTAAAAAAGAAGATGATAAAATCTAATACTTAAAATATATGGCTTTTTTGAATATAAAACTCATGTAAAAGATTGCAGTGTTTATCCCAGGTGAACTTCTGAACCATCACAGATGGCAAAGCATTCATTCTAGTTGGTATTCATGCTCTCTTCTGCAAGAGGTACATTGAAAGGGTTTCACTGAAAGTTTTGAAAGGACTTTTAGGTTGTTGATATGGGAATAGGTTCTCCATTGGGGACTTAAATCTCTAGACCAGTGGTTCTTAACCTGGGGTCCCCAGATGTTTTTGGCCTTCAACTCCCAGAAATTCTAACAGCTGGTAAACTGGCTAGGATTTCTGGAAGTTGTAGGCCAAAAACATTTGGGGACCCCAGGTTGAGAACCACTGCTCTAGACTGATGATCTACTTTTGTTGATGAGATAACAAGGAAATTTCAGCAGAACAAAAAACATCATTATTACTGCTACCACTCCTGATAATACATTAGAAAATATGAATAATGATTTTAATACACATTTCAGCTGTGTGAATGGCTTCATAGATGTCTCTCAGTAATCCTTTGATTAGACCTTCAAAATAGAGCAGAAATATATCAACCACACAGATAGTTGGGTGCAGATTTAATCATACTTAAAGTAGGCTCATGTGTAACAAGTTATTCTTGATCAAAAGTAACTCTCGATGGATTCAAGAGGTCTCCTCTAAGTTTAAAGCTGGTTCTACTCCAGGGTTTTGAATCTCATGAAAAATATTCATCTGAGAACATTTAATAACAAGATGTTACTCACAAATTGTGAAGTCAGAAATAAATTATCTCACATTCACACCAGATGAGCAGTCCACCTTCAGGAGGCTTTACATTTGGCCACACTCAGTTCCTAGAGCAACCTATGTTTAAACTTGTTCAGATACTTCCTCCACTCCTTCTGCTCGCTACCACACTATCAAGCTTCGGCCTATAATGAAATCCTGGAAATGAAAGGCCGTAAATAGGAGTCATTGATCTCTAAGAAAGGTAAAAGGAGGTAACTTGGGAAAGACTCAAACTATACCCTTTTGAGGTACTTGTAACAGTAGATCATTCTCCCTTCACCCTTACAAAAAACTTGATTACACTCTTTTGGTAACTCTGTGCAATCAGGAAACACTGAACTGTCATGTCTTTGGAAAAACTTGGAATAGTCTCTGGGGCTCACATATATCTACTGAAGGCAAGCAAGAGTTATGGATCATGTTGACTGGCACATAGGCCATGAACCTTTATTAAATACATCCTAGGTGGGTTTGGAAAAAAAGCCCTATAGGTAAATATTTTGGGCTCCTCCACATGACTGGGACTCCTGAGATAACCAAGAAACTCCTTGCATGGAATAACTGACCACACACCTCACTCAGTGGTGAAAGGAAAAGTTAGTTGGCATTACACAACTGTCTCCTCAAAATGTAAGATAGCTTTATTCACTTCCTATTGGCCTTCTCTTAAGTAAGATTTGGGCTGGCTCACCCAGAATGGTGGATGCTCAAAGAAATTGAGTCATGCCAAACCCTAAACATAGTTTTGTATTTTTAAGTTTTTATCTGTAATTCTAAAGTTAATAAAAGTTCTAACCAATTGTAGCTTAGAAATGCCATTATTTTTACAAGAACTCCCAGAATTCCTGAGCCAATGTGGCCATGGGATTCTGGGAATTAGGATGCTAAGTTGCATTTTCAAGCTTTGCTAAAGATAGTACACCCAATGAAGTTCTGGCTTCCTATTTATCAGCAACAATGAATATCAAATTCATTTTTATTATTTGAAATGATGATGATTGGATTTTGAAAAAGTAAAATGGCTACTATAGAAATATGCAGTATCCTTGGCAGTAAAGGGTGAATAGACTTCATAAGTTAGCTAAACATTAGCCAGCTCTTTGTAACTTGTGAATGTCAACTTTAATTTAATATATTTTCTTTCTGGAAACATTATGGCCTTGATTGTTGTAATTCTTAAACAGGGATCCAAGTTTATTAGATAGCCTCGAAGACTAATAGGAATTTAATTTCTTAGCACAACTTCTCCTGAATGATATAAAAGACTCTCTCTGTGTGTATGAATGAATATTCTTATAGTAGTCATTTTATACCTTCCAGTTCCAGTGATTTCAAATAATAAAAATGAATTTTATATTCACTGCTACTTCTAAATGGGATATTCACTGTTGCTGATAAATATCTATATAGATATATACATATATACAGTATATTCCTTATTATATTTGCCAATATATATTTTCAAGATAACATACTTAATACCAAGTTGTACATCCTCAGGACTTAACCGTTACTTGCATTGCAACAGTATAATAATTTCTCCTCTCTATTAAACTCTCTCTCTCTCTCTCTCTAAGATTCCTTGAATATGTTTAAACAAATATGGAAAAGTCAGATGTACTATTAATTTTTAAAAAAAACATTTTGTTTCATCCCTATATGCAATTAAACATGGAGAGTGAAGATCAGATGCCCTGTTAATCTCTTTTTAAAATTAGCTTCCAAAAATAAATAAGCATTAAAAAGTGGCATCGTAAGTAGCAAAATATATGAAGTAATAGTAAAATAATATAGAAGACAAATATTTGTCATCAATATAAATAAGCAAAATCTATGTTTGAAGATATAAAGATACAAGTTAGACAAACAACAAAGCACTACAGGATATTAATGTGCTTTCATGTGAGCATCGCTGATCAGGATTCAGAGTGTGCCATGCTTTCTTTCAAAATGCTACAAGCAATTAAGTGCTCAAGTAATTAAATTTAGTTTCAACCTCCCTTCATCAGTAATACTCAACATCCTATGATACCTGGAAATCATTGGGTGCTATATAGTCCTCATCTGCTTTTTTTTTATTGGGGTTGTTGTTTTATTATTTTAATTTTAAATGATATTCATTCAGGTTTTAACATACATAAAATAAAATGAACAGTAATACAAGAGCAAAAAAGTAGAATATAGAAATACAAAAAAGAATATCTAATGGAATGGGGATTCTTGTTTTATATTTATTAGTTTGTTTGTTTTGGAGACATTTAATACTTCGACAAACCCTGGTGTTCTTCTGAACATGCCAATACCTTTCTCTTATTTTTTAGACTGATTCTGTTTTGGTTGTCATGAAGGCAGTTTTTGCTGTTGAATGAGAGTAGAGAAAGTTACAGGTGAATATAAAATTTTCACCTGTGAAATACTAAAGTATATGATACTTTGATCTCAGCAAACATTTGGCAACATTTCCCATAATAAGCTGGTAAAATGTAAGCAGGTTCTACTGATTTAGGTGGCTCCAAGGGCCCATCCAGACAAACCTATATTCCGGGACCTGTCTCCAGTAAAAACCAGATTAATTTGGAACAAACCAAGGTTAATTAAATACCTGATAAGATCCGGATATTAAGGTAAGATCCAGGTCTTGCCAAGGTGTTGGCCCTGTGGGGATTTGACCATTCCCAGGCCCAATCCACACAGCTATCTTAGTTTTTTGGCGTCCTGGAGCCTGAAAGACAGAGAGGGCATCCCTCTCTCCCTAGCCCAAAATTTCCTCCTAAAAGTAAAGTTAAAAGTACCTGGTTGCCATAAGTCTCTCCTCGCACCCTCCTGGCATGAGAAAATGATGCATCAGGAGATGGGAGAGAGGGAAGGGGGAGGAGAAGGAGGAGGAGGGATTTT